TAATGCATGGGTACACTGTTAGCAAAAACTTACTTAGTCAAATAAATTTTCATGTTCCACGATTAAATTGTCGGTATTCAGGCACTTTCATGATAAATTGTAGTAGGACCAACCAACATTATTTTTCGCCATTGAACAACATGTGTCGTTGCTATAATGATGTAGCCCCAATTGTAGATATTTTTGTTACTTCTAGTATTAAGTCTTTTCGTGTTTTGTTGTATAGGAGTGATTAAGTCATAGTTATGTTTTTTTTTCTTTTTAACTCTATTTAGTGTTAGTAATTAATTAATTTGTGAGTTTATATTTATCCTTTTGGACCTTCGTCTGTTGGATAACAAAATTATTATTATTATTATTATTAATATTATTATTAACGCTTGATAGCAATGGAATAGCATTTTTCCTAACTCAGTCATGGGTTTGTATTTCTAGATAGTATTCTGATTTCTCAGGTCATCTAAAGTTAACTGTATTAATTTGATTGCCCTATGGTCTGATAATAGTTCAACTCTAATGTTCCTGTCTACGTTCGTAAAGACATTGTCAAAAGAGTATTTATCTCTAGTAGGAAAATTAACAACTAGAAATAGATTGAATTCAGTCATCAACTCATCAAATCACATAATTTAACTTTAAAAGCCGGATAATTTAAAGATATTATTTAAACTATCTATTTTAATTAAGAATGAAAATATTACGTTAAGAAACACATCAAAATCGCCACTAGGTGGTCTATAAATAATAATAAACGCAGCATTATAATTTTTTTTTTATTCTTGTATGTACGGCGGTGATGACTCATCGGTCGGGCGGCGCGACGTTTGCAATATAGGTTTAAATAGAGAACATGGAATTCAATCAACGAGTCAAGTCGAGTGTATGTTCAGAATCCAGTTGCGCCGGAATTATTTTGTACATAATCGCTATGTAATTCGACATGTAAATTTGAGTTACTAAGAAATAAATGGCTGAGTTTTACCCACGCCGGTTTTAATGCCCGTCCAACGTAACACTGAATAAAGTTATTATTATTATTATTTGTCTTCTTTAGTCAAAATGAGGGAGCCTCCATGATTGGCCAAAGTGCAAGAAAGCCTTTCTTTCTCCCACTTCGTCCATTCATAAAGGCTGAAAATTGACAGTTCCAAAGATCCTTATCTTACTTTGGAGTTGTTGAGTTTCAGTTCATCAATTTCAGGTGACTTGAGCCAGTGTTCGGTAAAACCAACTACTGAAATATCCTCCGCTAGGAAATGTTCCAACTCAAGAAGGTTTAATCTTCTGGACCGAACTTTAAAATTTAGAAAATTAGCTAAATTGGTATATACTTGTGATTTATCATTTCATTCATATTTTTTGGATTTGCTTATTCAGGGTGACCCAAAAAAAAATTGCAAAATTTGACAAAATTTTAATTTTTTTTCCAAAAAGCTGCATGTCAAAGAAAATAACGCAAGATATATATTCATAAATCACACATAAATATGTTATAAAATTTAAATAACATTATTTGGCAAAACTGTAAGTTAACATCATCAGTTTTTAGAGGAGCCGTAACCGAATAAATTTTGATTAACACTTTACCATGTTTCAAATAACTTTAAAACGTTTGCAAGATTCGGAGCATTTGGTTTTGTAATTTCAAAGTTAAATTGTAAAATGTACCTACCTAGTTATACAATTTTAATTTTGTTTAAATCTAATTGTCAATAAGACATGGGGCATGCCGGATTAAATGAGCTGAAAATTTACACAAATAATAGTAATAATTGTAAAATTGTTCCAAAAATTATCAACTCTTTTTCATACGGAACGGAACATATTTTTCAATTCTGTGGGGTGGAACTTTTCACAAAACTGAATATTTAGAGTAAAAACTTAACACGGATTCATAAATCACAAGTGCAGGTTGGGATAAACAGATAAATTTTGATCAGCGTTTTACCATCAAGACGATATTCTTAAAATGCCATACATACAAAGTTTTACAACAATCGGTTTGGTAGTTTTGGAGATTATCTGCCTAATAAAAATCGACACAGTGGCGGACAGACGGCAGACAGCAGACAGGCAGAGAGAAACAAGAGACCCATTTTTTCGTATTCGAAAGGGTCATGTCATGAGACGTTGAGAAAAGATTAAAGTAGCCCGATTCCATTATTTACGTTTGGGAAGTATGATTAGATATTTACTCGGCACTGAAGTTATACATAGCTGATGCCATATGCACTTCGTTTTCAATAATATGTTAATAAAACTGTTATTTTTTTGTAAATTATTATTATGCGTGGTAAAATAGTTTGCTTCTGACATATGTAAGATGTAGGTAAATTACTTAAATTTAGAAACATACTTCATTTAACTCATTAGGAGTTAAGAAACTATTAAAAAACAAACAAAAAAATCGAGTTGAAACAGAGTGTTGTTGGTCTTACGAGGTCGTCCATCTCAGTCTGCCACTTTATCTAGCGTGGTTCATTTCCTGTTCCCGCAGTTCCTTCCAGCCCAGCTATTCAGTTAAGAAACTTACAAGGAAACTGTTGCAGAAATTGACGACTAGCAGCTTGTCTCACAGTTTTCAGAAAACCAATCAAGATACTGCAGCAATTCATTGTTGAAAGAAGAGGTTCTAACAAACCGAGGAGATTTCACGTTTGTTAAAACAGATACCGCACTAGTTGTAGATTATATTTAAGTAGTCCCTGGTGCATTCGCCAAACGCAGAATTTTAGTAATAAGCTTTCACCAAAGGGAACTCGTACGTGACGATAACGCGTATATTACGTTAAGTCTTGCGATAACCTTTATCGCTATTGTTGTAGATCAATGGAAAACGTAGTGAACTGCGTTATACACACTATCTGGAAATTCAGGTGACTGCCTTTCTATAATAAGATTTATCACTTGGAACAAACACAAAGGACATTACAATTTTTTGGAAACAGTTTACCAATATTGTCTTTCTGTTGTAAGTAGGTGCTTCTTATTTAAGAGATAAGTGACCCAGTTTTATTTTGATGAACGTCTAATTTCATATTTATTTGATGTGTCACAGCTTGCAAAACACGAAAATGTAGGTTTCCTGTATAAATTTGTCCGTCTGTCTTTCGTATCGTTTATCCGTCGTGTATCTACTAGAAAATTATTAAACTTGTGTAAACGTCCTCGAACTTATTACGTACTTTCAAATCATAGTTGTATCTTAAAATTACCGTGAAACTAATAAAACACTAATCAAAACTTGTCTGTGTATCTTCTTCAAAAAAATTTGTTCGGTACACGCCAAAGTTTCCAATTATAAGAAATTTCTGAAACATAATAAGTTGATATTAGGTACATAAGCTTTACCAACTTATTACTAAACAACTCTGTTTAAAAATCTAATCACTGATAAAAACAATAAATCTGTTTACACTTTGGCTAATTTATTTTCCATAATAAAGTGGCTTGCTGAAAATTCGCTTATCTATTGGTACAATTTCATTGGAAGGGCAAAGCCCTTCTAAGATAAGATCTGGGCTCTTGATACGCCTAAAATATTCCCTTGGTAACGGTCATATAAACGTAGATATCCTAGCTAAAACTACATCACTTCTTCCTCTTAAACCTATTGTCACGCAGAGTAATCTATAAAATGAATTACTTTATAAAAAAAATATTACTCTAACATACATGTTTTACGTACTTTGAGAATTGTTTAATTCACTTCGGGGAACTGCAAGAAATTACGTATTTTCTTTTCTCTCAAAGCAATTTCGTCTTTCACGAACTGTGTACGACATTGACGAGTGAGGTAAAAGTAATGATGTAATATACTGAGAACTTTAATATTCATACACGTGTTTGTGTCATAAATCAGGAAAAATCCAATTCGAGCAACACATCCTAAATTCGAGTATCTTTTTATGTCAGCAGCGTCTTCTACATTAACTTTTATTCCTGAATTTATGGTGAGTTAAAAGAACATTAAAAACAAGATCTGCAAATTTGGGGGCTTTGAAAAAGTATGTAAATTGCTTCTCTCTTTTTTATTATTATGTTTTTTAATTAAAAAAGTTATTTCATATATATAGTTCATACGTATTTTTTAAAATCCGCGAATGTCCGAAAACTAGCGAACAGCCAGGGACTTTTGCAAAGTTATTCAAAACAGTTCAGATTTAGAACACTTTAGACCGATTACTTATATCTTAGTTAAAGTCATAACTTTTACCGGGACATTTTATGAGCAAAAATAATGTAAAACGTCTAAATAAACAAGTCCTGTTTTACTAAATAAAAAAGATGTTGTTCTCAAACAGGTACTTAGTTTTTGGAGGAAATAAATAGACAAATTTAAATTACCAATTTTCATTGTTTACGATAACTTTAAAAGGTTTGCAAGATTTCAGACTATTCAGTTATGCAGTTTCTACAAGTTAAATTGTGAAATGTTCTAATACAGATGATTTTATTTTTCGAAATAAATAACAGCTGACTCATAAACCACAGATATAGAAGTTTGTGAATTTACGAAACTTTGAATAATATTTACGTTGTAAAATCTTGAAAATGATAATTTACACGATATTCCTAACATACATCTAAATTTCAATCCGATAGTTTCGAAGGTAATCAGTCTAATAAATTCGCTACTGCCGACGATACACAACAAACAATGGACAAATGTAAACGGGAGACCTATTTTTCCATAATCTAGGGGCTACGAAACGCTAAGTGGATTCTGTTACAATACTTTTTCAGCTTACGTTCGGCAAGTGAAAACAGTAAGTTTAACAGTTACATCCAATGCATTTAAAACAGTAAACATATACGCGTTGTCAGTTAATGTTATTTCTAAAAATAAATTCAAAATATACTACTCCTATATTTTCGTCTTTATTGGGTATCCATAGTCGTGATACAATGAATAATTGTATCTCTTATCAAGAAGTCATTCAATTTAATCCAGATTGTGTTTAAAGGTGGGATATAACAAGATGCGTTACAGAGGAAAATCTTTATTATTATTACATTCACACTGATTACAAAGTGATAATTCACGATAACATTTTGTATTTTATTATCACAAATAACAGTCATCTAATGTGTGCTTTTACAAAGGTATAGTGTTGGAGTATTATAATTTAGTCTGAAAGTGCTTTTTTGCGTTTTCATAGTCAAAATAAGAGCAACAATTTGATTCAAATGTTTTTTAACTCTTTGGTTATTCATACCGTAATGATAATTAAGGCCGCTTACATTTATAAAAAAAAATAATACGTTTTTTAAACTTAGTAGGGTGCCAAATTTTTAAATTTTATAATTAGTTTTAAAATACATATTCATGTTTGTGTAATTTTTATATATATTTAAAGTGGCAATACCACATTTTTTTGATATGCACAAGATGATACTGATGCAGAATGTTAATATTATGCTTGCTTATGGTTTAAGATTTAGACAAATAGCAAAAATTATGTCAAGCATCACGAAAGTGCCATAATTGATGATGTACTAGACAATAAAATCTTGACATACTTACGGTTTTGTAGCATCATGCTAAGATCTTAAACCATGCGACATCAAAACATTCTGGTTCCTAATATAATAATAATACGTAGTCGTATATAATTATGCTGTTATTACACAAAGTGCAACAGGATATTTCCAAGAGACACTCAAAGTTGTGATACGGAGATGTTTGTTATTGAGCTTAATTTCGACCAAATAACTTCTCTGATAAGTGTAAACGGTGAAGAAAGATTTTTTTGTCACTTGCTATAATATATTATTTATAATCTTAGTACCTACCTGTTTTTCAAAGATAGATGAGTAAGTGATATTTTACGACAAATTTCCAAACTTACAAATGTATGTATATACATAACAAACCATCTGTTTCTGTTACTCCCTGTAGAATTAACTAGAATTTCCTACCAAAATTGTAAGAAGTCGCCTTTTAAAAAATCCTTGCTTTCAAATCACCGCAACACACATCACACTTAGGTAATTTAACGAACATCGTTCACAGTCCGTGACTCACACTACTTATCGTATGCCATTTATTAGTACGATGTTCATATTCCATCGTACGACACCGATAACTAACCAGGTCCAAGTAACTCTGAAATTGGTAGCTGCCGACGGTGAGGTGAGCCAATGAAGTTTCTGGTTGTTGATAACTTGGGCGTCTGGTGTTCTCATGGGAATTTTTAACGTTGTTTCCTGTGGCGAGAGGGGAACCCCTGGTAGTGAGGACACGCAGCGGAGCTCTATACTGTCCCCACGGGAGTATTTTCGTTCGACCAAGAGGCGTAAAGTAAGAGAACGAGAAGCGAGACCCAAACTATCGGGTTCTGAACTTGTCATTTCTCCTATAAACCTTGACGGAGCCTGAAATAGATAGTTTGTGCTTTTAGTATTTATTTTATATTATCAAGTTTATGATTATTAGTAAATGGTTGTGGCATAACAAACGTTATGCGTGTCCAAAAACGTCCTCAAATTGGCACTTGACGTCACGCACAACTGTAGGGATAAGGAAGACATCTTGCTCGTCCAACGCCAACTTGAGGACGTGTTTGTTTTGTTAAACACACCGCCTTACGATACATTGAACGTTCCAGTTTTCTAATAATCGACATTAGTGAAATTCGTGGAGTTTTAGATACCCCCAGATACACTAAACTCGCCAGAAATTAAAAAGAATACTTATTTCTTATTTATTTTCTTAATTTTAAAACATTATGAAACACGAATAAATTGTGAAATATTCCAGTTACTTAATTTTAGTGCCTGCCAAACAGAAAGTATGCACTTTAATCGTTTCCATTTTAAAACATAAGCCTCAATATCTCTCAATGGAATAACCTTTTAAAGATTTTTGCATAAAATTTCAATTTACATTTTCAACGTTAACGTAAAGCATTAAAAAAACTTTCCTTTAAGTTCCTTTCTGCATAAATCGTCTATCGATTTAGATTGAACTCCGTATTCTCTTTTAGTATTCCTCGGACCGAAACAAAAACCGATTATGGTGTAAATTTTATTGATCGTGTATGCTACCCAAAACTAGGTAATAACAACAGTAATTTATAGGCAATAGGTACTATAATATCGACGCCGATCGAAGGTCAATAAATAAAATTTCCAATATAAGTAGAGAATTTGCTGGTGTAGTACAAAAGAAAGATGGTGGAATAGACTTTTGTACAATATTCAGAATTGACAGCGGTCATAAATTTCCATGTAGCGCACTGAACTGTCTCCCTTACGGGACCATAACCGCTCAGTCTTGCTATTTTTTCTTCGACAATTTAAATAATATATTACGAGTGTGTTCCATTTACCTAAACCCTTCTACCTCGTGCACGTTGAAAACTGTACAAGTTTTACGAAATAAAAAAAAAGTATCCAACAGTTAACTACACACTCTGTGAACTTGAAATAACCTTCTTGGAAGAAGTTTCTGAGACCCTATTAAATTCTTGATGTCCATTTTAACTCCAACGTTACACGACCCAACAAAAAACTCAAATGAAATTACGATTTTTCAGTGTAAAAAGATAAATGCTCTTTGAAGCAAGCTGGTTACCTCGAATCCATTGATGTACCAGGACAGTATTGGTGTGGGGTCAGCAGGATCCGAAACGCATTTGGCTTCCACAGTATCGCCCTCCGCATAAGACGTTGTTAAGCTCTCAATCCTAGGATTTTCCCGTGGTAGAGCTATAAAAGAGAAATCGGAAACTGTAACTACCATCGACAAAACTGGAAATGCAATCACACTGGTAATATAATCCCGTCTCGAATGGGCGTTCTTTGCGGGATTCTCTGCACTTGGCGGTTTCCGAATGCGTTCAAAGTAGACAGACTTTACGTTATCTGGACTTTGGTTCTCTGAAAGTTCAGAGGCGACATGAGACATTTGTCCAATGTCGAATGAGAGTTTCGATGGGTGTAGGTTTTAACGAAATTTTATGGGTGGTTGCGTGAGGGTGAAATTGTTAGTTAAATGTTGTTAACCGACGGTCAATGTTTAGGCTAACGGAAGGTAACAATTAATCCCTGTGCTTTTAAAATTGTAAAATATACACATACGTTTGTCAGAAACAATATGCTGATTGAAAAAAATTAACACACAACTTAAAATAATTTTTTCAAAATTTTGTTGTCATATTCGCTGATCAGTATGAGCAGATCTATTTTCTTAACTATTATTATTATTATTATTATTATTATTATTATTGTTATTAGTATGACAACTTGATAAGTTCACTATGAAATAAAAAACATGGTCGAAGATTATTTCGACAGAGCTTCCTTCGCTCCTGAAGTAGATTAAAACAAATCCAGCTTTTCTGAAAAACTATAAAATTTGATCATGCGAATTTTAATTTTTTTAAGAGAATTCTTGTAAGTTAAAATAAAAATATGTACGAAATAAATCTAGAGAAGCGTGCTGGGCGTATGTTACAAATGAGTATTACTCTTAACGAAATTTTATATGTACTATCAATTTGCATAGGTAGGTACAATATAATGCCAATAAAAATAGTATTGCACTGCCAAATTTTCGGAAAAATGAAGTGAGCCGTTTTTGATTTAATCAATAAAATAAATCGACTCATTCATTTATGTTTATGAGTCACTCTGTATAAGCAATTCAAAAACCTTTAAAGCGTTGGTAAATCACAAGTATATATTCATAATATTTTGTACAATTTGAATATGGTTTATTCGGCAAAATTTGGAAATGACGTCATCAGTTTTTTTGGAGGGGATAAACAGATATATTTTGATTAAAAATTTACCATGTTTGCGATAATTTTAAAATGTCTGCAAGATTTCTGCACTTCCTGATTAACAATAAATCGACTCATTTCTAAATTTTTTTGAGTCAACCTGTATAAGCAACTTTAAAAATTGCGAGCCATACTCATAATGTTTCGCATATTTCAGAGAGGATTTTATTTATTCGGCAAAATTTTTAAATGACGTCATCAATTTTTTGAGGGGATAGGCAAATATGTTTGATTAAAAATTTATCATACTTATGACAACTTTAAAAGATCTGCAAAATTTCAAAGCATTCGGTTTTCCAATTGCAAAATGTTACATAATTTTGAATTTTTTTCCAAAAATTTGACGTTTCTGCTAAAAATACAACACGCGTACATAAACTACACTTGTAGGACTATGTTATTTTATACAGTTTGAAACCCATCAATTCTGTAAATTGATTTTATATAAAAATCGCAACAAATTTAAAGGAGACATAAGTACATCAATTTGCACTGGCGGCTCGTGACCTTTTGAAATGGGGGGACACAGTTTGATTGATTAGTTAAATATGAAGATATAAAACAGGCTCGTATTACCAATTAATAGAAGAAATTGTGTGACGGACAAGTAAAACAGGAGTTGTCCACATACCTTTGGTTTTAAATCATTACTGAGGAGACACACATACAAAACAATTTATTATTTTTTTCACAATCGTACATCCAAGAATATTTATCATACGTGTTACCTCTATTAAAATATCTATGAAAGTCTCTCGTTTTGTCATGAACACTTTTTGTTATTAATAAATCGGAAGTGACTCTCCCTAAATTTTTCACCAAGTAAGACAGAGGATGATTTTTTATTAAATATTCAACGGAATTCATTATTTTTATTTAAAATCAAACAATTTCAGTCTAGCAGAATGAAAATGTAATCCCACTGGTAGTGGTCACTATTCGAGCAGGACCCGATTCCAGATGAATACAGTGACTAGACGCATGGTTTCCATGGCAACAGTGTAAACAAAACGTCTAAATGAGGCATGATTTGGTCTCTAAGTTTTGATGCATTTTATACAAATGGAGCGTGATAAAAAAAATAGTTTTGATAAAATTATGACACCAATTTTCGGATAATTTTTTAAATATTGAAAATTACTATTTTGCTATGTTCAGTGTGTTTGTAGTGGTTGTAATTTTGGGGAGCACGTGCCCTTGTGCCCCTTGGCATCAACCACCTTCGAATAACCGTACTACCTGCATTACAAAAAAAATTGAAAAATGATGTGAGTCGTTCTTGATTAATAAAATAAATTACTTCATTCATTAATTTTTTTTTCAGTAACCCTGTGTAAGCAATTCTGGGAAAATAGGAATGCACTAAGAACTTTAAATATATGTATCCAGACTCATGATATTTTGCGTAAATTTTAATTTAATTTTCTAGGGGGATAAACAGATATTTTTTAGTTAACGATTTATCATGCTGACGATAATTTTGAAAAGTTTGGAACATTTCAGAGCAGTTTCAAAGTTAAATTGTCAATAATGTAGTTATACAATTTTGATTTTTTTCCAAAAATTTTGAAACCTAGGGTATTCTAGGCGGATTCATAAACCACAAGTATAGAGGTATATCACTATTTTTTAAATTTAAGTATGTAGCATTTAATATGCAAAATTTAAAGATTCATTCATACACCACAAATGCAGAAGTATCTTATTTTATAAAATTAAAAACAAATTTGCTATTGTAAATTTTGGAGTTGACGTCATCAAATTGTTGGTGCTCTAAGGGGTCATGAGATGTATAAAAAATACGAAAGAAGCCGTTCATCATATTGACCCTATTACATTTTTTCCTAGATTACGCTCGGGAAGTAAATCATAAATAATGTCATTGTACAATTGTGATTATTTCAAAAAATTTTGTATAGTGTAAAAATCAAGGCGGATTCATAAATCGCAAATATAGAGGTGTATTTTATATAATTAAATAGCATTTAATAGGCCAAGTTTTGAGAAGACGTCACCATATTATTGGTGAATGAGACAATCAGACAATTTTTGGTTAGCATTTTACCATCTATACGATATTCATAAAATACATATAAAATTTCACAACAATCAGTTCAGTAGTTTCGGAGATTATTGTAATAAAATTGCTAATAGATCATGAAACGTCGAAGAAACATGAAATTCATATTTCGCCAGATAAATCCTATTATAATACTCCCCTAGCTTACACTCGGAAAGTAAAATGCATTAATTTTCTTAACAAAAGAAAAAAAACTAAATCTAATCCAACGTACCCATATTTTTTAGTGTTTAAAAATAATTATTATAGTTTTATAAAAATATGAAAATTACAATGGTTAATGTTGTATTTGAGACAAAAATTTAATATAATTTTAATTTTATATTAGATCATGTCTCATTATTATCTCACAATAAAGCAAAATGTTTTAGAGAAGATATAGTGCGTTTACTACTTTGACTTCATAACCATTTTACAGTGGATACAAGGAATGATACTGTTACGAAATACACCCTTACGCCGCCCCAGTACGACGCCTATGGCGGTCGAGAGCCTTCTGGACGTACGCACGGCGCTGATGGGTGAATCATCGCTGTTGACGGCCGAGAGGCGGGCGCATAAAGACAGGTCTGGAGCGTCTCGAAGCGGCGTCCAGGGGAGTCTCGAAGCGGAGTCGCGATGGATGTTCGTGAAGGATCTCGATCAGAGACTATGGGTTTAAATAGAGGCGACCGTAGGTAATGGATTCATTCATCCAGTGAAGACAGTCGAGGGCGCCGGAATAATTTCTGTACATATTCGTCGCAATAGATAGTGTTGTAATTCGAGCTAAAGAAATAAATTTTTTTGAGTTTTACCAACACCCGATTTATTATTCGTCCGTCAATCGTAACACTGGTGTCAGAAGTGGGATTAATTGTGAAATAAATCGGGATTCGAATTTGGTTGGTGCTACTAGGGGAGACCGGAACAAAGTGAACTTTCGAGAAAATTCTCTCCCGCGGTAAGAGTGGAATAACGGAATTAGACTTTCATCACCTGACATTGGCTTCGAGAATTGACATCTGTCAAGGCTCTAGAAGTTTCTAGAAGAAAATTTTATGCCGACTACCACAAGAGCGCAAACAGCCAACATGGAGGAACAACTGACAAAAATGATGAAAATGTTGAGCGAAAATCAAAGAATAATGGAAGAAAGTAGAAAAGAAGATCGAAGAATAATGGAAGAAAATAGAAAAGAAGATCGCAGAATAATGGAAGAAAATCAAAGAATAATGGAAGAAAATTTAAAAGCTATGCAAACTACACTTTTGAACAGCCGAAGCGAAATCCTCCAAGTCGTGCGAAATGAAGTGGACGAGGTGAGAAATGAAATGGAAAACAAGATCAAGGAGCTCGAAGAAAGGTTGCAAACACCACGACCTACAATTGCGACCCCTGCAGAATTCAGTCCGGTGAGAGTTCAACCCCCTATTTTCGATGGGCAGACGTCGTGGACTACTTATAAGAAGCAATTTGAAGCTGCGGCCTTGTCGAATAGCTGGAATGACCAACAGAAAGCGACCGCTTTGGTAGTAGCACTACGAGGTGCGGCCCTGGAGATTCTACAGACATTATCAGAAGAGAACCAGAAGGACTATACCGCTTTGACGACCGCCCTCGAACTCAGATTTGGAGATGAACACCTCCGGCAAGTTTTCGTAGCGCAGCTTAAATCTAGGATTCAGAAGAGTAGTGAATCTCTTCAGGAGTTTGCGGCTGATGTTAAACGTTTGGTACACCTCGCCTATCCTGAAGCTCCGCAAGACTTCCAAGACAGACTGGCAGCAGAAACCTTCGTAAACGGCGTAAGGGTGTATTTCGTAACACTGCCCCCCTCTTCAAATCCGATCGTCCCGATCGGAAGCGTCTTCGTTGTTTCCTTCGTACCGTTTTAGTCGATCGAGATGAACGATCTTCATCTCGATCGACTAAAACGGTACGAAGGAAACAACGAAGACGCTTCCGATCGGGACGATCGGATTTGAAGAGGGGGGCAGTGTTACGAAATACACCCTTACGCCGCCCCAGTACGACGCCTATGGCGGTCGAGAGCCTTCTGGACGTACGCACGGCGCTGATGGGTGAATCATCGCTGTTGACGGCCGAGAGGCGGGCGCATAAAGACAGGTCTGGAGCGTCTCGAAGCGGCGTCCAGGGGAGTCTCGAAGCGGAGTCGCGATGGATGTTCGTGAAGGATCTCGATCAGAGACTATGGGTTTAAATAGAGGCGACCGTAGGTAATGGATTCATTCATCCAGTGAAGACAGTCGAGGGCGCCGGAATAATTTCTGTACATATTCGTCGCAATAGATAGTGTTGTAATTCGAGCTAAAGAAATAAATTTTTTTGAGTTTTACCAACACCCGATTTATTATTCGTCCGTCAATCGTAACAATACGTTATAGAGACAGTTGGATAGTCCACTCGTCGTAAGGTAATGGCCGGTGATAATAACGTGAAAGAAAATGGGGGTAGCAATCAAAAAGTGGCAAAGTCTTGAGCACAGGGTATCCACTTATAATCGCTGATTTCCATCTACCATTAATTACACAAACGTAACGTTTTAGGGTGGAAAGTAACATTCACTTCCATCTCTTGAGATTGAAGTGAAGTATGTAATAGCTCACTTCCAAACTTTTAAAAAGTTTTAAAGTTTCACATTACTAACCGATTGTGAATAAAAGTTCATATTAGGCACATTAGATGCACCGGAAGGGAATTTAATTGATTTACATTAACTGTTTACTGTTTGGAGTTGAAAAAAAAACTCAGCTGTTTAACTATTAACTAACCTGCTACGGTTACGTTGTGTGTTTTCGACGCTAACCGAAATGTTGGAGCATCGCTAGACACTTCGCAACAATAAGCACCGCCACTGTGATCCCTTGTCAGGTCTTTTAGGCGAAGTTTACAATGCACCATGCTGCAATTTATTCCATCAAAAACGAGATGTATTCCAGGGACGGGAAACGACCTAGTATGGGGTTGATGATGAGGGGTATATCTGAAAAAAAAAACAAAACGTAAGTTTCACCTAATTTGGGGTGTTAGACTTTCTGTTAATTTTGTTACTAAATTTTTTCCACGATACTAACTAATTCAAAGTTAGTTAGTTAAAAAAATTAAAATTTGGTCTGGTCTTTAATAAAGAAAAGAATCGTAATTTCAATTACGCAAATTGTTCTAAAACTGTAAAGCAGAGTACATAAATATAAACAAACTTCCACGCCCTGAATGAATAAAACATTGTCTCAGCGCTGTATAATTGTTTCATCCTGAGCGCTGATAGTATGAAGATTAATTCGAATTATCAAGGATTGAAAATTAAAGTGAGGTTAAAATTTCTGAACAATACAAAAAAAAAATACTCCTACGTTTTACATGTAACCATTAGAAAAACCCACCTAAAAAATTCGTGGCCGTCTTTGTACCACTTCACAGCATACAGGATCTCATCGCCCATATCAAAACTGCAATCAAGTTCCATTTCCTGCCGAAAATCTGCTACAAGAGGCGCGTTCATGTGGGTCAGTCGTAAAGCACTTGATTCAACTGGAATTCAGGAAAGTTTAAATGCGACACAAGTATATTAGCACTCGATGAAAAAATTCGGGATGAACCCGAGAAAAGCGGGCGAATTGGACTAATTATCTCGTTAAAATCGAGATTAGGTCTGGATGTGGGCGTTCGTTCGTATCAAATATAAATTACTCAACTACGTAAAAGAGAATAAAAAATGTAGCGTGCAACCGACACTGTATTAACATCTAGATAAATTAAAAACGTGTGCAGTATACCAATTTAGTGTAATCCGATGGCAAACAACGGCTATACATTAATGAAACGATTCGTCGAATAGCTGGATGTTGGATCTAAACAAATTAAACATTCTGCTCTTCCAATGGCTCTTACAAGCGTCATTAAACCCGCAGGATATGAGCCGATACACTATTGGAATCAATGAGGTGTTTTCATTCTTCTGGATTGGTATATTGCTTTTCAGTCGGTTTTTTATGTATGGGGTGGACTGCTTCGTATTCGCTATTTCGTTTTGCCAGCAAAAGCTAACATATTGTAGTGTTCCTATCAATATGTAATTCTCTCGTTACATCAAACCTCACTGGTAGCATCAAAACATGGTTGATGATTTAATATTTACAACATAACTTAACGTTTTGTGGGAAATCACATTTTTACACTTGTTTAATCAAACTATTAGCATAAATAAAATTTATAATAATGTCTACTGTTATCAAGTTATCAACGAATAAATGTGGTTGCTGTAAATCAAATGTTCAATAATAAAATATCCAAAAACCAGTTCACAGAATTTGTGAAATGCAAACAGTAGTTTCCACAAGAGTTGCAAGTAATTTTAAAATTTTTGGTGGATGAACTCAGAACTGTGATGTCACTGGTTTTTATTTTTAATTCAAATTCTAGTTTTTTTACTGCGTGTTTTACAAGACGAAACAACTAAATCATTACTAATTTTTGTGAAAAAATATAACCGTTATTTACACAAATTTTCCTCGCTCCCAAAATGCAAAACCAAACAATCCAGTTTCTTTGAAAAGTTATAAAATTTCATTCTGCAAATTTTATTGAATTTTTAACTCATTTCGTTTCGTATTATGGAACACGTATACGACGCACGCCGGGATAGGATGTCGAGTTCGAGCTACGAGCTCGGTGTCGGTGTCAGTGTCGAGGACACCGACACGGGTTTGAACTGAGTCTGAACATAGGCATGTATCGCCGCGCTATAGAAAGAGTGAGCGAGAAATAAACCATTTAATAAAATGCGTTCGTTTGACTGTTCCAACGACTAAATTAGGTACAATAATTGATGCCGTTTTCACACGCTTTATTACTCATTTAAGAACTGATACTTATATCACTCATTTTAGTCATCATAACATAACTCTATTAAATGATAGGGATAAAGATATCAAAGGCGATAACGCTATGATTGAACAGTAATTTGTATTTTAAATCGAATAAGTTATAAATACTGCTCTAGTATTTATAAATATTTACTTGTTACTTTAGTTGGTAAATTACACATTGTAGATTAATTTTTTTATACAATATTATTATAATAATTAATTATGATATTTCTGTATGATAAATAAATAAAAAAGTATATTTTAATGAGCAACAATTGACAATACATGAATATTTACTTTAATTTACTGAATCATCATCATTAATCATCATTTTGTCAAAAAATACAAATGTAACATATTTTTGGTTTTTATTATTTTTTAAGAGAGAATTTGTGACTTCGCCGCGTATACGTGTTTAATTTATATAAATTTACAACGCGAGTTAAAACTCCATCCGTGCGTCCCTGGGTCGACGCACTCTTTTTTTAATTCTTTTTTATCATCACACTTATAAATTAAAAGGTCACACATATCAGTTTGGATAGGTGCAATGTAATACGGATAATAATAGTCTTGTATTCCCAAATTTTTGGAAAAATGGAGTTAACTGATCCCACGATTTTATGTATAAAATAAATTGCTTGATTAATTCATTTTTTGAGTCATCCTGGATATACAATTTTAAAAAATATGAATGCAGTGAAAAACCACAAGATAAAGACAATAGATTTATAATATTTGACTCATTTTAAACAGATAATTTTTGGTTAACGATTTACCATGACAATCTTAAAATGCTTGCGACATTTCAGAGCATTCGAATTTTGCCTTTGTTTTTGTTTATAAAATTTAAAGAGCAAAATCAATTATTCGGAAAAAAACATCCAACTAGACCCGAATATCAATAATACGATGTTTTGGGTACGAAATTTGGGAATCGGAAACAACTGGATCTCCAACATGGCCAGCAAGGTAGGGATTAAATAATTTTTCAACAATTCCTAATAAATATCAAAATGTATAGTTCCAATCAGTTTGTGTTTAAAAAAGACAATTAAAAATGCCTGTAATCGCTTGCAAAATATTCTAGAGCTGCCTTCACTTACACGTCTTAAAACACGTCAGATGAAAATTTCAAAATTTGTGTTGGAAACGCTGAGGTAGATGCGGTATTTATTGTCCGAACAAAGCTGAATATTAATTTTTAGTAATAAAAAGCATATGTAATTTTATACCGTCTTGGTTCTATTTAAAGAAAGCAAATTTTGTGAATACTAAGCTTTAAGTCCTGTATATTATTTTATTAAACACATTGGACCTTTTGACTGAAGTAAAACTTGTTTTATTTTAAGTAAAAGTGTTCAAAAAACCCATTTTTAAGATGCATTTATCAATTCCTATTTTAAAACTTCGTTATCATGTGTAGTATGAAATAAACTCTCAAACAAGGGGTCACTCGACCCCACACACCACTTAATTTTTTTTATTAATGTGTCATAGTTTTGACATTTTAAGGTCACAACGCATCGCTGTGACCGCCATGAGCATCCTTTGATTACTTAAGCTGTATGCCTAAATTTCAAAGCTTACTTAGGTATAGTGGTTTCAAAGATACAAGAAGGGGAGGGGGGGGGTTGATTTTAAAACCGCACTGTATATAGGTTCCATGTATTATAAATACAAACTTAATATTAAAACATTGGTAAAATTGGTGAAACTATAATATAAACCACCTCGTAGAACTTTGTATTTACTTGAGTTCGTTCTGAAAATTTAAAAATTCATATTACATTAAACGTCAAATAGGAGTTGTTTATATTATTTACATTCCGACTTCTTTTCTTTGTAAAGTTTGCTCTGAGAACTTTATTGCGAATGTAGATTTGTTTGAGTAAGGTTGTGCAAACAGTGAATTACACCTTCTTTCTGGAATAATTTCATGCTGAAATATTTTATAAAGCAAAATAGAATATAATTTATTCCACAGAGAATATACTTCGTAATAAAAAAGTACGTCGAAAAATACATTTACTACGAAACAACTGCCTACATAATTATTATTATATATAGGCCCATTTGAATTTATTATAATGCTGAGCATGAATCAACTGACATTATGAACACGAAAATAATCAAGAGATTACGAAGGGAACATTTTTCGCAAAGAACTTCTTTGCATTGCATTGGAAACATTAATTACTCGGTGTAACTGTAAATCAAATACTTAATAAGAATCAATAACCAGTTTTTATCACCTACACTTTATCTAACAAAATTTCAACCAAATTAAAATAAATTTTAAGTAGGTATGTGTTATATCACAGCTAAAGAATCAAAAAAAACACCTTCATCATACTATCCATGTCGTTTAATTAAATTTTTAAACTGTAATATCACAGTCTTTACAAAAAAAAAAATAATAATAATAGTAATATGAAATTTAAGTTATATGATGGGCAGATGTTTGAAATTTTGTTTTTATTTGAACTTTTTATTAAAAATTGTTCATAATCCCATAAAACCTCTGGACAACCGATCACCTTAAGGCGAATGAGAGAAAATACAAAAAGAGAAGATACGAAACAACTTGATAATTACTGGGGTCACAATGGCTGAAGGAACGGAGGAAGAACTTAGAGTAGCAATAGAAAGTAAGATGGAGGAATTATTTTGCGTGAAGACCAAGGTGAGAAGAGCATATAAGATCGACGAGGCAAGATACATAATTGAAATGGAACAGTGGAATGACAAATTAACAATACTGAAAGAAAAAGCAAAACTAAAGGGAAAGGTCATATTTATTGATTCAAAGCTATCAAAAACGGAAAGAGGGATCCAGAAATGCATCAGGGATGTGGCCAGAATTGAAAAAGGAAAAGGCGCGAAGATAAAAGTGGAATACCAGAAACTAAATGTTAATGGACAGATAATGAAATGGTACCACGCAAACAAAAGGCTAGAAATGGCCAAACCAGATAAAGATCCAAAAAACTAAAAACAATGAGAATGGAATAGGAAATGGAAGTCGAGATGATAGTAATAGACAAAACGTGGAGAGAAATGGAACAATAGAGCAAACCACAGTCAGTGAAGAAGAAGTACAAACAAACGAGAATAAAAAAGGAAGAGGACTTTCGGGTGCAGAGAGCTGATGACTCACTCACCTTAAATTTACACATTAACGAAACCAAAACGAAGCAAAACAACAAAATCTTTGGAATGAAAAACAAAACACGAATAGGAACCTGGAACGTAAGAACAATGTTAGAGGCAATTCAGCTGGTGCAGATAATACATGAAATGGACCTCCTCAATATCAAGATGCTAGGGTTATATGAGACAAGATGGCCAGGAAATGGAGAAATAACAAACAGAAATGGCAGCGTCTTGCTTTACTCAGGGAAAGAGGAAAGCGAGAAAAGAATGGGTGGGGTAGGTATCCTGCTATCCCGTGAAGCTAGACAGAGTATGTTACAATGGAATACCATTTCGGACTGAATTATAACAGGAAGAATGAAGAAATCAGTCAGGAAAATTACAATTGTACAGTGTTACGCACCTACAAATGTAGCAGAAAATGACCTGAAAGACAAATTCTATGAGGAATTATCAGAAGTGATAAGAAACATCAACAAAGGTGACGTAACCATAGTAATGGGGGACAATAACGAAGGAGCTGAAAAAATTATGAACAAACACGGAATAGGAGTAAGAAATGGTAATGGTAACAGATTAATAGAATTCTGCCTAGAAAACAACCTAGTAATCGGAGGCACTTTATTCCCACATAAAAACATCACAAAGTAACATGGATCTCACCAGACCATAAAACCCGAAACCAAATTGACCACATATTAATAAGCAGTAAGTGGAGAAGGTGCTTATTAGATGTACGCAACAAAAGGTCAGCAGATGTGGGCAGTGACCAACACTTACTGATTACTGAAATGAGAATGAGAATATGCGTCGTAAAAAGAAACTGGCGGCACAATAGCACGTCGGTAAGCAGAGTAAAGATAAGTGTCCTTGTGGTGTAGTGGTCAGCATACCTGCCCGGAAAGCAAGGAGACGTGGGTTCGAATCCCACCGAGGCACAACATTTTTATCTGCTTACCTACAAAACGAAGAAGCCCTAAGAAGGAAAAAATTCAACGTATAAAAGCTAAAAGAAATAGATATCAAAGCAGAATGGAGTGTCCGACTAGAACAAATCAAAACTAAACGCCAGAACATAGATTGTAGATGGAAAGAGATAAAAGAAAACATACAAGAAGCAGCAAAGGGAGTGCTAGGTTATATGGAGAAGAAAAGGAAAGAAGAATAATATGAGAGAACTACTTATATAAAATAATGAAAATATTAACCAATAAAAGCTACTAATAAACCATTGTACGACAAACAAAAACAATAACTCATTACAACACTTGAAGAAGAAGTGAAACGATGGCAGGAATATTACATAGAACTACTTGAAGAAGGAGATATGGAAACAGAAGCAGCAATCATAGACGGCAATGAGGAAAGGTGCGAGCTACTGAATATCAGTACCGAAAAACCATCCCGAGAGGAAGCTAAAGAAGCAATCAAACACATGAGGAATAACAAATCACCAGAAGCTGACGAAATACCTGCGGAAATATGGAAAGCGGACCCAGTGAGCACAACAGAACTACTAATACCATTAATAGAGGATATCTGGACAAACGAAGAGATACTAAAAGAACAGAACAATGGGATAATACTTAGTAAGATTACCCAAGAAAGGCGACATAAAAGAATGTAAGAACTGGAGAGGAATGACCCTACTGACCACAGCAAATACAATTCTGGCACATATAACCAACCAACGAATAAAGCAGAAAATAGACAATAGTCTGAGACAAGAACAAGCTGGTTTTAGAAGAGGTAGATCCTGTATATATCAAATTGCAACGATGAGAATGATAATAGAAGAGACAATCGAACAAAACGCAAACCTGATCCTGGTCTTCGTGGACTTTGAGAAAGCATTCGATAGCATAGATCATTGAGCAATGTGGAAAATATTAAAGCAGAAGAGTATCCCGGAAAAAATGATAAACGTGTCAAGTCGAAGATAAGGGATATTTAACAAATAAAATAAAATAAAAATAAAAAAGGGGTCAAGCAAGGCTGCATACTATCTCCATTACTTTTCAACTTTTCAATATCTGTTTGGACCATGCGAAACAATAAACCGGAGAAATGGAATAAGCTGGAGCTCACTACACAATAAGAAACTAGCAGAGCTAGACTACGCAGACGATATCTGCTTAATGTCAAGCAACGAAAAAGATATTAAAAGGATGTTAGGAAAACTTGAAAGAGAAGCAGCTAAGGTGGGAATGAAAATTAATGCAAATAAAACAGTGCTAATGAAAAGGGGAAAAATTCTAACACAAGAAAAATTACTCTTGAATCAACGAGAAATAAAGGAAGTAAACGAGTAATCAGCATGGAGGGAGGAACGGAAGTAGACATAAAGTAAAGGATTTGGAAAGCACAAGGGGCCTTCGGAACATCTGTTCATCGCCACATATTACGCAAAACACTAAGTTACGTATCGTTAACAGCAATGTAAAATCTGTTTTGTTGTACGGCAGTGAAACATGTTTCATGACAGGAAAACAACAACAAAGAATACAAATTTTTATCAATAAATGTCTACGCAAAACACTGAAAATATACTGGCCAAGAAAGAAACCAAATGAAGAGTTATGGAAACTAATACAACAAAAAAATATGAGAGAACAAACCAAAAGAAAAAAGTGGAACTGGATAGGCCACGCATTAAAGAAAGACAACAAAAAACAACTAAAGTGGACTAAGGAAGGAGATGGGAACAGAGGAAGACCAGCAACCAGCTGGAGAAGAATTACTGAGAGAGAAAGAACAAAGAGAGAAGTTGGGGAGAGCTCACAAGAATGGCCAAAGACAAACAACAATGGAAATGCTTTGTGGAGGCCCTATGCTCCGAAAAGAAGTAAAAGGAAATATATATAATAACTCCAATATTAACAGACTTTATATAACTTATGGCTTTTTTAAATTAATTTATTATCGTCTTTTAGCATTTAGGTGAAGTTTTTCCTCACGGATTTTTAAAACTCAATACTTCAATTATTTATGGAAATTTCGGAACGCAGTTTTCACCATTGCTGTCAGCTTACAGAACTTCTTCTTAAGGAATGCTATGTATGTATGTATATACAAAAACAGCTCGTGAATCCACTAGTCATAAAGGAAAAAAGAGATGCACATGACATACAGTAAAGATTGACGAGCAGAGTGACGAAAAAAATCAACTCATTAAAAAATCCAAATCACTCTCTATTTTAATTAAAGTAATATGTATAGTGTTTTAGACCATTTTGAATTTCAAAATTGTTTGCAACAACATTTGATTAAAGAACATTGTAGGCGTATTTAAAAAATTTTGGTGTGCTAAATCCAAATCTGCCAACTAAATTTCTTTATCACTTCATGTTTCTGAAATATGTAAAATACAAGCAACAATTTTTACTTCTCGACTGGAAGCTACTTTTATTCGTCCCTTCTAGTTAGTGAATTATGAGTGTAAAAAAAATGTGATTTGAAGTGTAACGTTAAAAAAAAGTACTAAAGTACTATAAAAACTTGAATAATAAACATATTATTCAAGTTTTTATAGTACTTTTTTTTATTTTAATGTAAAGGCGTTGTTACAGAAAAAATTAAATATGTAGAATAACCTTTACCTATAACTTATCCAAGAAGTTGGACTTGTTTGAACGTGCTTCAAAGGCGAAAAAAGTTCTGTCTGAGCAACTTTGAATTAATTTTTTTTTACTACTATTATATTTTTTGTTTATCATCATCATCATCATCGTCATCTATCATTCTATTATTTTCCACACCACTGTGCAGTTAAGTTTCTAATAAGAATAGTAAACCTAACTGTGTTTTTTATTTGAGTTGACCCTAATATTATAAAAATTCATATTTTTAAATCATTTCCTTTGAAATAAAGCATCCTAAAGAACGTTATTACAAATTTATTAAAGCTCTCGAGTATCGTAATTGTTAGACGCAAACGAGTTAATTCATCACCCCTTTAGAATCATCTCGAATTATCCAGCACAGTCAGCTCGATCTCGCATCTCAGCTCGCCTTTTTAACAAGAATAAAGACTCCGGCACGAGCAGAATAATAAATAATGCGTAAGAATCCTAGCTTACCGGTGTTGAGGAGTAGCAACGTCAGAAAACATGAAACAATGCCCGAGGAAAGCGGGTGAGAAAGAGCCGAGTTAATCGGCAAACAGTGTCCCGCACTCATTAGGCCCGAGTTGTTCTCCTGCTGCCGGTGTTCTGTCAACTTAGTGCATTATTCACTTTTACAGTCTGACGCAAGGGACCATACACTGTACACTTAAGGTTACTCTGGGGCCTCCCGAAATTCATATATTATTCACTCCACCACTCCCACTTTTTACATAAAAGTCAAAAAGTCGGAATTTATCACGGTGCCGCCAAGACTTGACTTGTTTATTATTTATGCCTTCTACAGATGAACATGTCTTAAGATTGTTATCCCCTGTTCGGCGATTTTCTTTTTGTTTCCATGAAGGGAACACGAGGAGAAGAATCTGAAATCAAAGATTGACTGATGTTATTGGTGAAGTTTGCGAGAATGGTGGTTGCGGCTAAAGCTACTTTGTATTCAAAATCCGAAAGAAGTCAAACTCGAGGAACGGAATAGCACTATTATATATTGGCCTTAATTCTGTAATAGGTAATTATCATGACATTTTCTCTTATAAAATTTTTATTACATAACCATAGAAATATATACGAATAACAAATCTTTAGTTCATGTAAATAAAATTAAATTTCATTCTGAAAACATTAAATTTCATTAACTGTCAGACAAAAACAAAAGAAAAGAAAATTCTAACCACTGTAAACATTAAATAAATATCATTTTTAAAATCAATATTGGTTTTCTTAAAAAAAGTTTAAATTTAAACTATTATAAGTAGATTTACAATTTACGTTAACAGTTACGTAACAACTTTCCATTATTTTAAAACCATTACAAAACGTTAACTATAATTTCCCCAGAAAATGAATAGTCATCTCAAAAATTTATTGAATGAATAGTCTTAACGTGAAGTTACTCGCATGCCTAAATTTATTTAAAGAAATTTATTAAAATATGTTTATCCTTTCTTGTAACTTCGGGAGAATATATCTGTTTCATTCCACGAATCAATATTTCTTAAGGACAATTCTGTATAAAAAAGTCTGCTAAATAAACAATGCGGTATTTGTTAACAGTTAGTTGTTAACAAATCTTAATTTAACAGTTTAAAAAGAAAACTTAAAATTTATGCTGGTACGTATCTGTAGAAAAAAAAGCGGTAATAATTGAACTATCAACAAAAAGTTAACTATTTGAGTTTTTGGAAGAATTTTTGTAAACATTAATTAACAATAATTCTTTCTATTAATCAGAAAAGCTAGATATTGTTTAAATTTACGGCTACTGTGAACGAACTCTCCGCACGAAAACTATCGCAATCTTTATTTTGACGTTATCAGTCCCCTCAAATAAGTTTTGCACTAAATTGGTCCGAAATCTTAAAAAGAGAACTGTCTTTATTAAGTTACGATTGCAAAAGATGAAAATTTCACTAATTAATAACTATTATTAAATCTGGTATAATATTTTTGAAGTTTATAAAAAGAAAAAGAATGTGTCGTTTTACCTTTTTGATTTTATTTTTTTTTCTTCACGTGTAGGTATATTAAAATATTGTCTCATTTCATCACAATTATGAGAAAAAATCAGCCAAACAGATTTAAAAAAATTGTACAATTCATTTAGTTAGATAATACTTGACAATTATAATATAATCATTTTTAAATCATCGTAAGATTTTCAAATAATTTGACATAGGTAGGATATCACAGGTCATATACCTATCTGTCAATAGTTTCTAAGTCAAATCGGTACGAAGACCACACCGAATCGTCTAGTATACACATTTAATTTTTTGCAGTTCAGTTTGTTCACATAAATTAAAATTTTAAAAAAATTGTTAAAATTCCTCTCTTTTATGACTGAAAATCAAAATGTAAAGTTAACAAAACTGCGAACTTTTGAAAAAGATAAAATTTAAAATCACAAAAAATTGAGTTGCCAGATTTCGTAGTGCATCTGTTCCTTTTTGTAATTTTTTTATCAACAGAAAAATTTATATTTACCTTGAAATAATTAAATGAAACAGTACTTTAATTATCGCAACACAACGAAAAGAATCGACCGCGCGCTGTGGAAGAAGTTGAACTCCTTCATCAGGCACAAAAAGCGCGAAATGGTGGGCGTGTCCCTAAAAACGTTCGTCAACAATGTTATCCGCGAGAACTTCAGGCTGATACTAAAAGAGGGTTTGCCGAGTGTTCAACGTCGGGCCTTCACCAGGTTTCAGCGCACGCCCTTTGTACCTCGCACTGATAAAGTCGAAATAACCAACTCTAGAAATACCGCATATATCTTTATTATCTCAATTTTGAATCTAGTAGATTCAGCCCTTTCCAAAAATGTGTCAGTGTTATCAAATATACAAAAAGAATGGAGTCGTGTTTTCCAATTTGTTGCTACAATGTATGTGACCAAAAAAGTAAAATATAACATTGTCGTTGAGTCTAACGATAGAAAAAATTTGTGAATCGGCAGGGGTGGCAGGAGTTTGTTAATTTCTCGACCTGTCTATTCTTACATCGAAATTTCAACCTTTTAAAGTATGTCTGTTTACTTCTCCGTCACCTCACTTTCATAATCATAACTTCAACATTTTTCATCGTCTGAGATGGTGAAAAAACAACTCACGCCTTATCTATTTAGAAAGTTTCCCAGCGCCGTAATTTCATGGAAAACGATCTTTTTTAAAATAATTTTGTAATTTGTTTGTGACCCGTTGGCAGTCAGGAAAGATAATAACAGGATAGGAAAGAAAATGCTCCCCCGTCTGAAGTGTTTACGTGAATATGCACGTTGAGTATGGATAATTCGACTGTAAATATTTCGAGGCATGTAAGGTACCGGTAAACAGGAATTTTGTTGTGTTGTTCTACGGAATACAAGAAAGCTGTTTATTGAATTATACTCGTTGTCATAATTTAAACGCACTCTCAAGCATAAATTTATTATTTGTCAAGGTTGGTAATTCAGAAGGCGAATATTCCACAATTAAGTTGCGAGTGTGCGTTATGCAAGTGTCTACGTTTACTAATTTACTTAGTTAAAAAAATTATAACAATTCCACTCAATATATATGTTTTTATTTTTCAATAATTGGTCTAGTAAATATTTTTATTTCCCGAGCGTAAGCTAAGAAAGTATTGTAACAGGGTGCATCCGACAAAAGGGAAATTTGTATTTTCTCGGCATTTCATAATCCCTACAGGAGGAAAAAATAAGTCTCCTTTTTCCGTCTGTCTGTCTGTCTGTCAGTCTCTCTATAGTCTTCTGGCTATTTTATTAGACAAAGAATCTTCGAAACTACTAAGTAGAGTGAATTTGTTTGATTATACTTCAGAATAGAGGGAAGTTTTGACCAAATAAGTGTGCGTGTAATGTTAAAATATTTCCTGTTTACGGTCGGATTTTTTTTTTTTCGAAAAATTTGGATGTCCAAGGTAAAAAATTGGTCTAAAGAGTTTAGACAGTACTTCCCTCGCTGTCGGAAACTTGACGACTGCATGCCTATTGTGTTTTTTTTCTCATTACATTCTTGTAGTGGGAATTTAAAAAAAAATTGCGCTGACTTCATCAACATTTTTGCAAAGACACGTATATCAGTTGGGATAGATGTAGTGTAATACTAAGAATAAAATTATTATATTCTCAAATTTTCGGGAAAATGAATTGGGTCGTTTTGAATATTGATTTGTAATAATCAATAAAATAACGAAACAATTTACTCACGTATACGTATCAGAGGCAACTGAAAATCGTGTATGTATAAACATTCTTAATTTAAGATGACAGGCGTAACAGCATACTTGAGAGTCAAACAGAGAAACTGTAAACAAAACGACCATCGGTTTTATTGCTTCGACTTCCGCTTATTATATAAAACATTGGGTTTTATTTTAATTCTTGACGGTAAAATTCACAATTGGTTGATTATAAACATGTCTATTTCACATTCGCGGAACCAAGTGAGCGCATAAAACAAATGCAGGTCTGTAATGTTAAAGTCGATGTAAATAAGCGTGCTACCCTTATGTTTCAACCGAGTTTTTCCTTTAACAAATTTTGTGTCTACCAAATTGGGTTGGTTGGGGTGTAATACTAATAATAAGTGTTGCCTTTAATTTAATCAATAAAATAAATTGACTTCATTAATTTTTTTGAACCACCTCTTAAGAAAATCTAAAAAATATGAATGGAATGATAAATCACAAGTACAAACTCATCATATTTTTTGCATTTTAGATAGGATTTATTCAGCAAAATTTAAGGGTGACGTCATCAATTTTTTTAGGAGGGATGAACAAATACATTTTGAACAAAAGTTTACCATGCTTATAATAACTTTAAAATATTCCCAAGAATTCAAAGCATTCGGTTCTGTAATTCCTGATTAAATCGATAAAATAAATTCACGCCTTCATTAATTTTTTTGAGTCACCCTGCATATGCAAATCCAAAAATATGAATGGAATGATAAATCACAAGTACAGACTCATCATATTTTGTACATTTTAGATACGATTTATTCGGCAAACTTTTGAGCTGACGTCATCAGTTTTTTGTAGAAGATAACCAAATATATTTTGACTAAAAATTTATTATGCTCTTTATAACCTTAAAACATCTGCAAGATTTCAAAGCATTCGGTTTTGTAGTTCCTGATTAAATCAATAAAATAAATTTACGCATTCATTAATTTTTTTGAGTCACCCTGTATATGCAAATCGAAAAAATTTGAATGGAATGATAAATCACAAGAAGAGACTCACCATATTTTGTACATTTTAGATAGGATTTATTCAGCAAAATTTTGTGGTGACGTCATAAATTTTTTAGGGGGGACGACCAAATACGTTTTGATCAAAAATTTACCATGCTTATGATAATTTTAAAATATCTTCAAGATTTCGAAGCATTCGGTTTTGTAGTTCCTGAGTAAATCAGTAAAATAAATTTACGCTTTCATTTATTTTCTTGAATCACCCTGTATATGCAAATCCAAAAAATATGAATGGAGTGATAGATCACAAGTACAGACTGATCATATTTTGTACATTTTAGATATGATTTATTCGGCAAATTTTCGAGCTGACGTCATCAAGTTTTTGGAGGGGATAAGCAAATATATTTTGACTAAACATTTATTATGCTCTTTATAACCTTAAAACATCTGCAAGATGTCAGAGCATTCCGTTTTGTAGTTCCTGATTAAATCAATAAAATATATTTACTCATTCATTAATTTTTTTGAGTCACTCTGTATATGCAAATCCAAAAAATATGAATGGAGTGATAAATGACAAGTACAGGCTCATCATATTTTGTACATTTTAGATATGATTTATTCGGCAAACTTTCGAGCTGACGTCATCAAGTTTTTGGAGAGGATAAGCAAATATATTTTGACTAAACATTTATTATGCTCTTTATGACCTTAAAACATCTGCAAGATTTCAGAGCATTCGGTTTTGTAGTTCCTGATTAAATCAATAAAATATATTTACGCATTCATTAATTTTTTTGAGTCACCCTGTATATGCAAATCCAAAAAATATGAATGGAGTGATAGATCACAAGTACAGACTCATCATATTTTGTACATTTTAGATATGATTTATTCCACAAACTTTTGAGCTGACGTCATCAAGTTTTTGGAGGGGATAAGCAAATATTTTTTGACTAAAGATTTATGATGCTCTTTATAGCCTTAAAACATCTGCAACATTTCAAAGCATTCTGGTTAGCAGATTAAAAATTAAATTTCAAAATGTTGTTTTATAATTTTGATTTTTTTTCCAAAAATCTGGACGTTTCGGGTGAAAAGTCGATTCAGAGTTGTAAACTACATGTGTAGGACTATGTTATTTTATACAATTGAAAACCCATTTACTATGTACAATTTTGAAGTGACGTCATCGCATTAGTGGTGGGGATGATTAGACAAATTTTGGTTAGCGTTTTACCATCTACATGATATTCTTAATATAAGTACAAAATTTCACAACAATCGGTCGAGTACTTTCGGAGATTATCTGTCTAATAAAAATCCGGGGGCAGACGGACAGACGGACAGACGGACGGACAGACGGACGGACAGACGGACGGACAGACGGACGGACAGACGGACGGACATAAAATGTTATTTCCTAAACTTAAACAATATTTACTCAACAAAATTTTGAGATAATGTGATCAAATTCTTAGGGGGGATGAGCAAACAAATTTTGGTTAACGTTTTAGCATCCAGATGATATTCATAAAATACGTATAAAATTTCAGGACATTCAGTCCAGTAGTTTCGAAATATTATCGATTTAATACAATCGCCAAATATGAACTACTTCATATTTCATTTTTTTAAATTGGTTTAATTTCATTCTCTTGTATCTTTTTGCCGTTTTTTTTTTTAAAGTTCTGTTTAGAAAATGATAATAATTTATCTCTATACAAAAAGGTATACATATTATAAAGGAAAGACACAAGAGAAGGTTGCGTGCAAACAACTTTTCAGATTTTTGTATTTCAAGCAACGTTAGTACTTTTTAACTGGGTTTAACAAGCACCCAACGTCAGATCTAAGTTTATATTAACTTAAGTAGGCACCTCCACAATGAGTTTCGAGCGAGTAAATATTTCGCCTTTCCGTCCACCGTAAATTTCGCATTCAGAATTAACACCGTCTGTAAAATTTAAGCGAATAATGCAACGCATGAAAGTTTGGAACAAACACAAAGGGAATATCAAGAAAATTGCAAGACAGTTTACACACGGCACTCGTAAAATGTAAATTAGAACCGTTGGATCCGAAACGGGTCGGTTGAGATGTTTTACGCTTTTGTGTTCGAGTTGGGCGTTAGTCGCCGTGTTTTCATTAGTTCGTTTATTCTTGGGATGGATGTAAGAAACTGTCAGTTTTCATCAAACACGATGTAATGCTCTAGATTAATTCATTGTCGGCTACCGCCGAGCGTACGTTCCAACACAATGACGTATTTCCCCTAATTATTTAATGGATATTTCGCCCGGGAAAGCTAATAAAGACGGAACTTTGCAATTTGATTTATGCGCTTTTGTATCATCACATAGAGCTGTAATGTGGTGGCGGCTAAGGTAACCTTTTGCCTCTATATGACGTTCAACCAGAATAAAACACAGATAATGCCC